GGGGGGGGGGGGGGGGGGGGGGGGGGGGGGGGGGGAAAGGTACCTTGGCAGTGCATTGTTGCTCTTGACAACTCCTACCATAAATAATTTCCTGACACGTACCTGGCCCCTTTTTCTGCACAACGGTGGTTCTCTTTGCTCAGGTCATTGTAACAGAAGAACTGGATTTCCAAAAGCAGATTTGAGCCGGTCTGAAAGAGGTACCTCTTCCTCTAAAAAATAAGCTCATGCCATGAAGGGGTGTCAAAACAAAACTTCAGTTGTGACCAGCTCCTGCTGCAGGGTTTTATTTCACTTACAATCAGTGTTCTGTTGATCTGAAATTAAATGTAAAATGTGCAATAAATCCTATTCAGCTGAAAAGCCCACGTTCCCTTTGCATCTGTAGGACACTCTTGAAAATAAAATGAAAAGCAAGGGTTGCAAGTTTTGTAAATGTAACTGCACCCTCTGTCACATCCTCCTTTTTGGCCTCTGTTGATCACCTTATGTGTGATGTTGAACTGGGCAGCAATCTCACCAGAAATTCCTTTTTGGTGTCTTTTCACTGCATGGTCAAGAGTGACAGCCAGGCTGTAGTGACGAGGATGTGGCAGAATCCTCCAGGAGTACTAAGAAGGAAGTTTTGCATGAGCAAGGGCAAAATAGCGACAAGGCCTTTACTGCTGATTACAAAGAACCTTGGCATGGCCCGTATCTAGCAGGGCAGTGACACAGAGGAGTGTTTTCGTGAAAACAGTTTGCACAATAACACAACTCTCCTCATTTCTGACGACTTCCCGAGGTGCAGTTTCTGCTGTCAGGAAAGTGTTTTCTTGCGTATTTACATTAAAATGTAGAGAAGTAGCGATGCGGTTCTAAAACATCAGGATGTCCCGTGGTAGTTCTTCATGTGAAAAATAACATTTCCGAGAGGCAGAGAACCTCGTTCCTGCTCCAGCAGTTAGACCTGTCCCAGGGGAACACCTCTGGGTGCAGACTTCAGAATGCTGTAGAAACATGAGGTGTCACGTCTGTCTCTGACCCAGCAAGCGCTCAAGTACCTTAATGAGGATCTGGGCACACACGTTTATCTTTCAGCCAGAGCCTTTAAACTGTAAATTCTTGAGGTGGAGATGATACAGGTTTAGGATTTACTTTTTAGTCTTGCCTCATCTTCCTGTGTGTGCTCTTGTCTGCGACAGCCCCGTCCGGGGGGCTCGGCCAGCGAAGGGCTACCAGGAGCTGGAGCTCCAGGTGTTGCTTCTGCTGTCAAACCCACCTGAACCTCCTCGCGTGCTCCTCAACCCGTGTCGGTACCTCTGGGCCAGGGCTGCGACTCTTCACCTTGTCATCAGGGCACTGACTCGGTTTTCCTGCCTTCCCCCTCTCTGCTGGCTTCCCCCAGCGCCTCGGAATTACCTTCTGTCTAAAACCACAGAGAAGTTTGTGTGAGGGACCGATGAACCTTAACTTTGTACTTTGAACACTGGAGTTTGCAAGTCTTGTTAAAGTAAAATCCCTCGCGCTTAATACTGACACAGGCCTTGCCCTGTTCCCTGCCTAAATGTCATAGAAAGTGTGTAGCTGCTTTTTCAGCCCACCGAGGAGCCAGGCTCTTGCTTCTCCCCTCCTCTGGAGTTCTGCCGGTGCCCCCCGGGCCGTGAGGCTGCTGCAGCAGGTCCCTCGGGTCCCTCTCTCCGTGTTCGCTTCCCTGCAGCGTTCCTGAATCGTGTCCACACCGTGAAGTCCGCTGTCTGTCTGTCCTGTCCATCTCCCCCTTTGCCACCAGGTACAGGGTTGGTCTCTCCTACCGAATGCCCCCTCCAGCCCCCCTCCTCCTCTCTTCCTTATGGTCTGGCCATCAGTGCAGTTTCGAAGCCTGTGAGAACAGCCCCACTTGAGACACTGCTGCGTTCCCCACCACCATTTCTGCTCTATCAGAAGCTGCCATTTCACAGCTACAGCCCCTCTGGGACTCCTGTTTATCACTGTATAACACAGAATTTCAAACAGAATTAAAATAAGAAGCTCTAAGCAAGCAGAGCATAGCTTCTGATACGAGCCAGCGCCACTTCCAAAGAGTTTGGCTTGCCAGGGCTGCTGCGAACGCAGCGGGCTGAGCCGCGCTGCCTCCAGGGTCGTGGCTCATCCGGGAGCTGGGGGGTGGCCCTGAGGCACCAGCGGCCCTTGGGTGGTTTGGGGTGGCCCCGGGTGGGGAGGGCAGGAGCTCTCAGCATTCAGGGGCAGATGCAGCACAGCCCAAGGCCCGTTTCTGGGGCTGCAGAGACGTGGCTCCCAAGGGCGCGTGGGACGGGCACGGGGCCACCTCGGCCACCGCTCACCCGGCATCATCCACCCTGCCCCACACCCCGTGACAAAGCTGCCCACACACCCTCACCCCCCTGGGCACGTCCCCACTGCCACAAGCCCTGGGGACAAGCCGCAGCCTATCTCGAGCAGAGCAGCCACTCCAAGGACACGTCTACAGCACCCCGGCACCCCCGGCCTTGAGGGGAGAGCGCGGCCAGCTGCGTTACACACCCGTAAATCAACAGCAGACTCCCGAGTTCAGAACAAAACAAAATCGTTGTTCACTTGTTTCACATTTAAGAAAAAAACATGGTTCATTAAAACAGTTTTAATGAAAAAATAAAGTTCTGAATTAAACTATAATTATACATGGCTGAAAGCAATGAACTAAAAGAATGGAGATGTTACTTTTTTTTTTTTCTCTCTCTGCTGATACTGTAACGTGCTGGACTTGTCAGACACCATCTATTGGGATAAATTTGAAAAGGTAACAGAACAAGAGTCACATTGATTCCTATCGAACCTCAGTGAAAAAGAGCCAGTTCGCCTGGCAGTTGGCCGTTTCTCCCGAGAGCTGCAGGAACACGTTCCGTGGGGGTCCAGTTGAATTGCAGACACGCTGTAAACACAGATACCCAGGTCCGACCCTTACGCGGCTTGCGACCAGGATCTTCCAAAGCCTTTCTGTTTGCAGAATGAAATGGCAGCGTTGGAAAACTTTGGTTATTTTTCTGGCTGCAAAGAACAGTCAGGCAGCCATCGGGGGCAAGTCTTTGGCAAACTCTTGGTGGTTTCCATAGCTTCTGGAAGGCAACACGCCGCGGTCGCGGGCTGAAGATTTCAAGAAGCTGGAGCTGGTTTCCAGAAGGCAGAGTCAGTTGTTGCAGCCTGGCAGGACGGGATTTTGTAAGGAAGCGGGATGGAAGCGCAGCCGCAGGGCCTGTGGCTCTGTCCCCGTCCCACGCCCTTCGTGGTGCTGCGCCGCTGCCCGAGGCTCTGGCGGCCCCAGCGCCTGCAGGGGGGCACCTGGCTCTGGGAGCCCAAGGGACCTTCGCTCGTCACCAGGACGCAGCCCCCAACCAAGTGGTGGTTCTGAGGCCACGGGACCAGGGACCCCCCGCACCTCCCGGCCTCACCGGACAGAGCACACGCCATCCATGAGAAGCACCTCAAAACCTGAACCCAATCTGTGCGGCACGCGTGGCTCGCTCTGGCCGTGGAGGAGCAATGCCGCCGTTTTGGTGGCCTCGCTGCACGAGCCGTGACTCCCCGTCACGTCTCTGGAGGTTTCCTCGGGCAGAGGCCCCAGGAAGCCCCGTGGATGGACCACAGCACCGGGGGGGGCCTCTACGCTCCTGTCCTGCCCGCGCTCACTTTTATCTGCATCATTTGCAACCAGTAGGTTAAAGATTCCATTTTTATGATTACTAATCCAGTCTCAAGAAACAAACAGTGAAAACAAAAGTCAACTCAGCTGTAGTGCTCAGATGGAAATGATCAAGTCCCAAACCAGACCTGCCAGGCTCCAAGTTTACTACGGCCCCTTTTAGAGTCCACGTTTGAATTGTGGGCTAAGAAAAGGGAGAGTGGCCGTCCTCTTCAAACAGCACCTCAGAGTTTAACAAAGGGCCGGGAAACGCAGCAGTTTCCCCCCATACACACATTTGAGCCGATCATGCAAAACAAAGTCACAGAAAAATCACCGTAAGAAGAGACCTTCTAGGAAGGAATCCGGTGTCGCTCATCCCCAGTGCTGCCTGTCCAGGAAAGGGGCTGCTCTCTCCCCTGGAGCGCGCAGGAGATGCCGCTCCCACTCGAACGATGCCAAACCACGGAGCTCCCCGCTGCCCTGGCCCGGGGAAGAGGCGGCGGGTGGCGCAGAGGCCGGTACGCACGGACGCTCCTGCGGGGCCTTAGAAAATCTAAGGTTGATACATACGGACAAATGGGCGGGTATAATATTACATTAAAATTAAAACACACGGCCATTTACTTTTCAGACTCCACACAGATTCCCTCTTCACACAGTTTCCTAGCACAGAGAAGGTTTGCAGTTTCCCGATGGGATGAGAAAACGTACGTGGCAAAGGTATGATACATTCCCCAGACATCACCCAATTCGTAGTTATAACCGGACAAAACCCCGCCGAGCCCGGAGAGCTCAGTCTGTCCCTCGAGCCAGTCGGTGCCCGGCAGCGGTTTCACCCGTCGGCCTCTTCCAGCCCTGGCTGCCCACGACTTGCGCTTGCTCGTCCCTGGCGGGGCCGGGCACCCTCCAGCCTGAGCAGCAGCAGTT